TAACTTTTTTAATATTCTTCTAAGTTAATTAGTAATCTACAAAACTATCTCAAGAACTACATTAAAACTTATTTGCAGTATCAACAAAAAACTAAAAAAAAATAATCAATTGAAATTCAAAGGTCTTTTAGTATTTAGAATTAACTTTACAAAAGATATTTAAGTTTATATAATAGTAATTTCTGCTTATGATACAAAGCATATCTGAAAGACCAAATCCATATTTTTTATATATTTATATCTAATTAACAATTTAAAAGGAAAAAAGAAAAACTTATAGACCATTTAAATAAAAGCTTATTTTAAGTAAATACAAAAACATATCTCCATCAACATATCAATACTGGACATAATAAATTTTACACTTGGAAACTTACAATTTCCACTAGACAAAATTCAAAACAATAAAGGTGATTTATTAAACAAAGCACTTAAAATTTTCTAAAAGTCTGGAAAAAGTGGTCAGTAACAGTCATTACATCACTAATCTCAGGAATTAAATGGAAAAAAACCATAGACACAAAATCCAATCTCAATATCAAAATTAATAATACAACTTTTTTATAAAATATTTAATATATTAACAACTAACAATAACCTAATTGACAAAATTATTTTTATTTTTGCAATTGTATTATCATTTTGAATAGACATTAGCTATTCAATACTGTCAGCATGGGTCCATCTACTCACCTATTTGGTGTAAACTAGTGTTAACAAAAAAGTTGCAATAGGCTAGGATTAACCTACTTATGTAAATATCTTTAATATAATGGCTATAAGCTCTCATTTAATAAAAGTCTTGTATTTAATGTCTATTTGTGATTTTTTTTTTAAAAAATAAGAGCTTAATATATGACAACTATATATTTTTGATTAATTATAATAATTTTTAAGTGATTCTTTATTTATTGAAGAGACTGTATATTATTCTAGATATTCTTATTTATTTATTTTTTATTTTAATTTTTTATAGTTTGTAACAACAGAGTAATATGACATAATATTTTATTGTATGCCTATATAAAATACATCTACAATAATATATATTTTTCTACATTTCTAATATTACTTATGTTCCAATCTTTATTTCTTATATCACTAATATATTAAAAATTCTAATTACAGTATTCTTTTATTTTTTATAGATCCAATGATGATATAATTGTATTGCCGTGTCATTTTTATCATTGCATCATTTTTTTAATCTTTTTACATTACACATTGAATAATTATTTCTTGTAATAAAGATTATTAATGCAATGGTAACAAACTTATTATTTAAATAATTTCCTATTTAATAAAAAATCAAGTAAATGTAATATCCCCATCTTTTTTTATAAATTATATATTAATGAATAATTTTTTAAAAGAAATTTTAATTATATTTGTTAAAAATATTGAATATCGAAAAATTCCTTTTAAGTGATTATATTATTCACGGCATGCGTGATAACTTTTTCTATAACAAAACCATAATATAATATCACAGCCGTGTTTTTTACTTGTCATAAACTCAATTTATTAAAATAGACGTCTTTAAATTACTTTTCTAAAAAATTATCTTTCAATCTTTGCATTTTACACAATGAAATTTGAATAATAGAATGATGTGATGTTGATAGTGAACAAATAATAAGATTATATAATGAAATTAAATAGAAAGATCTCGAGTAAAAAAAAATTTTTTTCTTTATACAGTAACATTTATTTTCCTTTTTAAAAATCAATTAAAATTGATTCAATTTAGTTTAGATTATTTTTTTTTTTGATTAAATAATAATAAATATTATTATTATTAAACCGAACTCCGAGATTAGACCTTATACATTTTAACTTTAAGATTCCCGTAATTGGGCAACGGCTTGCGATTTCCGGATTTTTTCATATGTCGGTAGTATCTTACTCAAATTGCAAACAATGGTACGCATTTGTGTAGCATATTTGTCTTAAAACAACTCATTCTGATCCAATGTATAAATAGAGTCCCTAGAATATGACTCACAGAATTGTACAAAAAGAAAAAAATCATGAACGCATTCTTGGAATTCATTCGATCGTATCGTCAAAGTGAAAACCCAAAAAATCGAATTACTTCTAAAGAATTAGGCCTCAAGTGGAGTTCAATGAGGGCAAGGGACCGTGAACCCTACGTCAATAGTTCAATTCGCAAGAAAGAGCTATTTAAGCGAGAGAATCCAAATTTTAAAGAAAAACGTATTCGTTTAGTTAGGAGGAGGAATTTAAAATTTATGAATATTTCTCTGGAATAAATGCAAGAGGAAAAATTTCTTAGAATATACAACGCTTTATAGTAGAGTGCTTTTTGTTTTTTCTTTTCTCTGTTTTCTTTATGCTGATTTTCATTCTTGATTTTTTTCTTTTTTTCTCGCTTATTTTGTTTTTTTTATTTTTGAACCCTACTTCAAAAAATATTTACGTTGTTTATCTTCATTTATAACAGTGCGCATCATTGTACTTATTTTTGAATACCACAATATTTGTTGTTCTATATTAGATATTCGCGTAGATGTGTACATTTTTTTTGAGGGTGGGCAATGGTTTTGAACTTTAGAGTTATTGTCTCAAAAATTTGCATAGATACTGTATATGATACGTATATAAAAAATTTCTATGTACACGGTACATATACGTATATGCATCGCATAGCACTCCAAAGAGTATATCCGGGAACAAATAAGGAACTTATGATATTCCACCTTAAATCACTTAAAGAATTTTTTCAATGTTTTTTTCAAACTTCCATGTCACAAGATGTTGGCAGAAAAGAGTAATACAGTATATGATTAATAAATTGTAATAAGGTATTACGTACATTGTCGCATCATTTACTCTCCATACCACTTCTTCTCTTTCCGTTATCATTTTTTTTCAATTGTTTTAACCTCGATTGCAATATTAGTACCTAAATTATTTTATTTTTTAACGCTTGTTTTTCTTCCTGTAATCTCTGGTTTATTAAATACAGTACCTGTAAAATGTTATAACGATGGTTGCTGGATACCCGTTTGTAGTAAGAATTCACATGGCTATTATTTCATTAAAAGTATTCCGGTAATACATTTTGACCTGATTTATACCTTGCATTTTTTATTGCATTACCCCTCGTGCCTATAAGAATAAGAATATTAAACTTGTGAATAAACTCAATCCAATTTTATAAGTACGTAATAAGCATACATTATACAAAATAGCATATACAGTAAAAGATAATGATAAAAAGTTAATGTAAAAAAAATGAGTACAAAGTACACTTGTGCCGTACTTTTTTTTGTCATCACCAGCAAGAACATCTATCCATTATCTTTCTTTATTCCCTAATCTTCGCATCATTCAGGTTATACTATTCAAAACAATGAGTAAATAATACAGTCTAAATAACTTTGTACGATATAATTGATATGATAAAAATTCACAAGACCTGATTTTCGCATCATAAAACAACACATCGCTAGAACTAAAAATGAATTTGGTAAGTGTATCGCCATTGTGGAAAAATAATTTTGAAGAGTGAAAGGTACGTCTATCAATGTAAATGGGAAAAGGTACGTAATGTTATAGGGGTACTGAGAAAGATGAGATATTCATTAGACAAAAGCATGATTATAACAATTAATCAATTACTGTAATAGAAGCTGCTATCAGAATAATATTCTCATTCAGATTGACATTCAGATTGATTTACGTGCACACAAACCGATCGAGAACACTCGAAAATATATTCTAATTATCTGTATGTAATTGTGTAATGTAAAGTAATGTAAAATTTTTACATTCTCTCACCATAATTGATCCGTCCAAGACGGACTCGTCAACTTATCGAAAAGTCTATTGCAATGTATTCGCAGGAAAAAGAAAAAAACCCTTTGAAAATAAATCCAGACGCAGGGTCTTTACTCTTCTAGTGAGTGAGAGGGGCTGATTTATTTTCGTGGCAAGTTATCATATTGAAGGAGAAAAATTCTTTATACCAAAAGTTTTAATCTCCTTTCAATACTAGTCACCTAGGAATGTCGATTAGCATATACTTTGCAACTCGAAAATTTGAAATACAAAAAATTCATCGCAATATATATATGTGTATGTATGTATATTTAAACATTTAACTCAAACTACTTCTCTGTATAGAAATCAAGGTTTAGAAGAATAACTTTAATTTCCCTATTTCTATGTTTCGTATTATATTAAAGTCGACATGCAATATTTAAAGAATGTCTCTCAGAGAAGTATTTCTTGCGCTCCGGCTGCGCAATATTTTACATTGAAATAAACAAAATAATGTGAGAAGAGAAGAGGAAGAACTATATGAGGGTCAGTCTAAAACGAGTTAAAACTCAATATTTGTTATTTGTTACTTGTGTTTGTTAGGTGATTCATGTGTACATACTGTATTTGTATCATGGTAAATCAACCGATCGTGCTTTTTTAGAAATAATAATTATTTTGTTTGTTGGGCAACGAGCTACCCAGATAAAGTATTGTTTACTTCTATCAAGTCAATTTTTGGCCATTATCTATGTCGAACGATTATACATAAGAATATTAACAGGTAAAAATTCTGCATACTCTGACTATTTGAGATATCATCTTTTGAGATTCGACACGCCAAAGTGTTATCACTTTATTTTTTTAGATCTTCAGACCTTTCACATATTATTGATTCGTGAGTAAATTGGAAATTCTAAAAGAGAAAATGAATCCACTGATGCTCTGTAATCTCCTTTTGGGTTAGATCGCAATTGATTTTAATACGTAATTTATCGTTCTTGGCATTATGGTATATGCTTTTCCAAGTTTAATTTGGATTAAAAGGTTTTGTAAAAAAGAACAAAATCTTTGAATTCCGAGCCCATTTTCAAAAATGATAAATACTCAATCGCATGCCTTGCTAATATCCTGACTGGGTACCCTTTCCTTCCCTTGCCTCTTGAAGTTTCTAGAATACAGTATTCACGTATTCGTACAAAATGAAAAAAACTATGAACGCTTTTCTTATTTTTAGCCGATTGTATCGTCAAAAAAACCCGGGAAATCGATTTACTCCTGAAGAAATAGGCCTTAAGTGGAGATCAATGAGTGCAAGGGAACGTGAACGTTACTTCGAGGATTCAAATCGTATAAAAAATCAATTTAAACTCGAGAATCCTAACTTTAAAGAAAAGCGTATTCGTTTAGTTAGGAGAAAGAATAAAAAATTCATGAATAGTTCTCCGGAGAAAATGCAGGACGAACAACTTTTTAAAGAATACACGAATAAATCTCCGGAGAAAATGCAAGAAAAAAAACCCACGAATCCATAGAGCGTTTTTGTGTTCTTTCTCCTAAAGTCGTTCTTTTTCATTTTGTACAATAACCTTCTTGGTGGTTATAACGTAGTCACGAAATATCGCAATATCGATTACAACAATATTCGTTAAATTATTCTCGAAGGTGGTGAGAATTTCGGTTCCTGTATTAACATATACAGTATATTCGAAATACAAAGTTATATAATATCATAATACGTATGTACACAAACACATCGTAGGTCGTATTATAAATAAATAAGAAGTTTATGCTAATCACAAATACAAAAATTTTTTTTCTTTAATCGTTTTCTCGAATTTGATATTACAAGACGATGGTAATGATGTGATGAATTAAAAAATAAGAATAAAAGTAAAATAAATAAATTATATAAAATTATTGTTAAGTTCATATTCAGTACTTAACCATTATACTGTATGTCCGGAGAAAAAACTAGTTAATTACGTTAATGTCATGTGATTGACATGCAGAAAAAAAACTTGTCGATCATTCGTTACACTTCGGACAATACTATAAGGAGCTACATTGCACTATTTGTTTATTGTAAAGTTGATCCTAATCATTAATTGATAACACCGTACATAATTTGATGACCTATGGCAACTTTATCCGCGCAATATAACAGGATTATCAACGTTTTTTTTTCTCTTATAAAAATTTACCAAATTCAAATTGAATTGTCAATCCATCTATCGAAAGTTTGGAAAATGCCGAGTTCGGTCAAATATTTCACACGGTGAAAAACCCACTATTGCATTAAACAAGCACCCTTAAATATTTGCCCATATTTGACCTGATTTAATGCATGTATTGTATATTTTATAATTAATAATAATTTAACGGGTTTTCATCTTAGAAACAATCCGTTACTAACAAAAAAGATGAATTATTGGGCAAAATATTTAGAAAGATCTCCAGTAATATTTTCATCTGGTTATATTATTATCCTCAAAGTTGAACTTGTAGAATGACCTGATTAAGGAAAAAAATTAATAGGTTATCTATACTATCCAATAATTGTTGCCAGGTTAGTACAAAATACATAACCTGTCGTTGGGAGGAAATGTGACAAGTATTAAATGCATACTGCAACAGAGTGATCGGTGAGTTTGTCGCTAATGGTAGTTGGAAGTTTGCATATCCGTTAGAGTAGGATAAGTGTATTCTTATCTTTATTAATATTAAAATTTATACATTCTTCTGTTTACATGGCTAAAGATATAATAATGATAACTTAATAATGACGAGGCTATTTAGTGATTTATCATTTTTTTCACAACCTCTCCCTTCTATTATCTAATTATTGCATCGCTACGCATTAAAGTTTGTTGTTTTCCTACACTGGTGCAGTGCAGGATCCTGCATTTATAAACTAAGTGAACCAAAACTATATTGTTTTTTAAACTACAGTTTGATAGATCCTTGTAAAGTATAATGTATTTTATACCTATCATTATAAGACTTCACGTTTTTCATATGAGAAAATGTGTAGGCTAGGATCTTCGCAGGTCACGTGAATGGCTTGATGCATCGGATCATGCATCAGAAAGTTAAAATAGTTTAAGATTAATTTGCATGACGATTAGTGTACGTGGAATAGACTAAATAGATAAATTTATAATAATTAATTTAAAAATTTGTACATATTGCTATCATTTGTAATTGTGCTGCTATAATGAACAAACTTGCTTCAATTGAATATTTATTGTCTTAGAAAATCTTAAAAGATTGAATTAGTAATTGTAAAAAAAAAATTTATTAACAAATGTTTTATGTATAAGCAATATAAAATTTCTACTTATTATTTATTATACAAGTACTGATTCTAATTTAATAACAGATTTATTATATAATAATAATATTTTTATAAACAATTATAATAATGTTATTTATTTTTAAAGGTACTTTTTAAACTATAATTGTTTATTAATTGTTGATTTAATTTTTATAAAGAAATCTAGATATAAAATTTATAACAATAGAAATATATTAAGATATGTTGTTATAAACACTGGTCTAAACTAAAATAAATATATTTTATAAAACCTATAGGAAAAAATAAAAGAAACCAATTATTAACAAATAAAAGGATTAATCTCTTCATAATAAAAAATATAAAAAATACATTTGTTAAAAAAAAGTAGTATTATAATAATTCTTCACTACTAGATATAACTGGTGAAAAAATTTATATAAGTATTGATATTAATTATTATCTTTAACTTACTACTACTTTAAATAAGTTGCAAACTTAAATTACTCAATCCAGTTAAACATTGACTGTTTGTAAATAGGACAACATGGCATGCAACTTTATTATTATGATATCATTATAATGTTGTTAATGTTGTAATATATGTTAAATATAGATAGTATAGTGATTGAATAGAAGACTTTGATCAATAATGATTTGTCAATTGTAAAGTAAGTTAATTTTAGATTTATAATTTTGATATAAAACAATATTACATAATATTTTCTAGTTTGAATTTGTTTTAATAATACTACTAGAACCTATGCAATATATTGATCTCATACTCTTTCAATCCAATAGACTTTTATATTGTTTTAATATAATATAATAAAATAAAATATAATTGATAATTTATAAATTATAGATCCTTTGATGAAATAAACTAATTTTGATTTTTTATGAATATAAAAATAAATGAGAACTGATAGCTAATTAAAAGGTTATAATTATAACTTGATACTAATTATTATTAGCAAAAAAAACAAAAACTCTAAAAAAATAAAATACAATCTCTTAATATACAGTTTATATTAATATTTAAAAAAAAAAGTATTAATATAATGTTTTGAAATGTTTTGTATAGAAGTGAAAAAAAAGATTTTTTTTAATTTAAAGGTTATTTATATAGATTTCACTTAATAAAGCAAAAAGTTTGTTTAAAGAGGTTTTTGCTCTGCCCAAAGTATTTACTCTTTTATAAAAAGTTAATCGGCTCTTTGTATTCTGCAGTAAGTGAAAATTAACTTCTTCTTTAGTAAAAGTTTCTTGCTAACTGTTTACTATCCACTATCCTGTCATTATCAAAAAAAATTTTTTTATAAATTAAAATATTGTAAAAAAGAGTTTTTATAAATTAGAATATTGTAAAAAGAAGTTTTTATATATTATATATTAATTAATAAATATTACTTTACTATTTGATATAAAATTTAATTTTCTCTTAAATAAATATTTGATTATATAAATATATTAAAAAATGATTAAGTTTTATTAAAAACAATAGCAATATTTAATTTCAATTTTAAAAATTTTAAAAAAACTTTGCAATTTATTATTATTATTTTATTATTTCTTTCCTCTTACCTATCTATTTTTAAATAGCTATTTTATTTATTGTTTTTGTGTTTATATTATACCTTATCAAAAATAATTTAAAGTTTTAAATAATTATTAAAAAAAAGAATTTTCAATACATATTTAGATTATTTATTTAAAAAATTTTTTTTACAATAATTATAATATGTTTTATATAAATCATTATATTTGATATTATTAAAAAAAATAAATTGTTAACTAGTAAAAAACTTAAAAAACTAAAAAAATTCATTGACCTATAGATCTATAGTGCAATAATTAATATTTTACAGGTCAAATTACAAGATATCAGTTCAATTTCAAATAAAAATAATTAAATAAAACTTATATAGTATCTGACACCATAACCTATTAAGTATTTTTTTTTGAGGCTAAGTTGTAATACACATATGGATTTTATTGATATTTTGATTATAATCACAATTACCTATATATAAACAGTCTACTAGCTATTACTAATGTTAACCTACTGTTACACTTGGTTTTTACTTAAGATCTTCAATACTTCTTATCCGATTTTCATTAGCATTAACTCTTGAAATGTTAGCTATTCTAGAATAGTTTTGTATTACAGATTTGTTACTGCACCTTTAGTATCTGTTGTATCTATTATATCTTTACCTTGAACAATTTCCTATATAATAGTCAGAAAAAGATCTATAAGATGTAGAAATCCTATTACAAGTTTAAAC